TATAAAAAATCCGATATAAAAGTCCGAATTTAAGGGAAAATTTTTGTATTCTCAAGTGTCTAAAGTCACATCGTCCGCATGACGGGGTAACACAGAACTTGAAAACGCGGCTTTGACCCCTTCTGGGGCAGAAACACAATATTGTAGACTGACAAATGAGAAGTTTTTCGCGCACATGTCCCGAGTTCATGGTCAAAAAGATACAATAAAAATAAAACCTAGCTAAACTCACCGGTTTGTCGACAGACCAAACATGAGGGGTGGACGGGGCTTTCGACAAAGACGAGCCAAAGCCCGAGTCGTCGTCAGTCGTGGGCTCAATCGTCAAGTCGTTCACTGATTTGCTCATAAGAGCCACTGCACTCGAGGCTCCCACAAGATCGCCGCGATCCGACGAGCCATTGCCGCTAATGACGCCCGAGTAATTGTCGTGATTGTAAAAAACGCGCGACTCTTCTCCGTCCGCGTCATCGTCGCGCACTTCCGGTTCGTTTTCCGAATTCTCGCAAGCGGATCCACTGCTGTCCCCAGCTTTGTCGTCGTCATCGTCATATTCCCCCTGTCGTCGATCCATGCGATGGTTCCCGTTGTATTTGTCGGAACCGTCGTCGTCGTCATCCTCGTACGTCTCACCCGTCTCGTCGGTGTACAAACTCAGGTCAAACGAGGTTTTGCTCTTCCTGCCTTTCTCTGACCTGAAACATGAAAAAAATAACCCATCCAACCATGAAGTTTTCCAATTACTAAAACATCTTCGAGACAAAGGTGAAGAGGTATGGTGCAAGGCTACAATCCCAAACAACTCAAACTTGGTAATTTTTTTTAATCCCCTATCGAATCTTCGTATAATGGGTTAGCCCAGATTCTTCTAAATACTGTATACAGTATGTAATGTTTTCTGACGGTACAATGTAAATGTCATAAGCACTTGTCTTGGACGGTATTTTTTGTTTTCTGAAAAATAAATTTTATTGGGAGTGAAACTGGGAATCTGCAGTTGAACATCTTTCAAGTAGAACTTCAAGGAACCAGGAAAAAATGCGATTTGGCAAGGTTTTAAGTTAGGGAAACAAGCTTATTTTTAAATAGAAATTAGTGATGTTCAAGTCCTTAGATTGCTTCTTAAATAAGTTGACAGGATGATGCTGGGTTTATTTTCCTGATTATTCTTTCACTTCCTTTTGAAACGCAAGTCACATTTTCATTGCTTTTCTCTTCCCTATGTCGATGAAAAAAATAGCCAAAAGGCCTCCAGAAAATATGAGTTCCGAAGGTTTGAGAATGGAAAGCCTTCGAGAAGGTTTTTAATGCACTATTTCTAAGGGAATTCAGACAGGGACTTGTAAAAAATTAGACTTTCATCGAAAATCCCTTGATTTCATTGGCAGACAGGGAAAAAGGAACCAATAGATACTAACACTATCGTTTCTGTTCCTAAAATATATTTTCCTCTCACCTCTCCTGCATCATCTCGGAGAAAGTCTTCTTTTTCCTCGATGCAGCATCGCGTTCAAGAGCTTCGTCTTCATAC